GACATTGCATACGTTCTATAGCAAGGAGTGTGAGAACATTTTGGTACAAATTAAACATTTGTAAGTACGAAGACGCAGATAGAGGGAGAGAGAGAGAGTGTGTGATAAAGCGAGCTATGAACACGATATAAACGATGCTCAGATAGATATTCTGAATAGAAAGGACTAGACTCACTGTGACAGAGCAACAAAAGCCACAGAAATGTTACACATATAGAGAGATGGGCAGAGAAAGAGAGAGAGGAATTCTATAGCAATAGAGAAATACGGTCGCAAAAAGATAAATGCATGATGTTATTGTTAGTATTATTTTTCATCAAAAATGATTATCGCCTTACATGATACACCATGTGCACATGACAAATGAATGACAACTTAAAATTGTTGCTTTTCAACTGTCATCTCACAAGAATCAAACATATTCCATCAACACTGAAATGACTGGATTAATGTATTTCAACAGCAATTTTTTCTTTATCCTCACATTGAATGTGTGTACCGCCCAGAACGAACCAAAAAAATTTCTAATATTATAAATGGATGTTGATGTCTTTATTCATTTACGATTTTTTTTTGTACTATGGTAGCTTTTAAATTTGGATTTCTTGTGAATTCCACTTTTCTGATGGAATTTATTTTTGTCGAGGAGCATTCTATGTTGTTGAAAACGAATTGCTTTCGAAATGGAATGAAAATTGTTGAATATTTTCATTCGAAATACAATAAATTATTATGTTGACAAAAAGTTGGCCACTGTGTGCACTGTACAACGATGTTGGTGTAATTCAATAATTCAATTAAAATCGAATGATAAAAGCTTTATATTTTCTCGAAGTCGTAAAAACCGAAAGCACTTGAGTGATTTGAATTTGAGTTATACATAATTCATCAGCATTGAATATTTCAGTCAAAAATTGTTGAAGCTTAAATGTAACTGCCACTGTAGTTGTTGTTGTTGGTAGAGGTGATGGTAGTGGCTGTTATTATTTCAATCAATTCATGTCATTTTGATTTATTTTTGGTCGATTGTGAAAATAGCCTAAGCGAGGAGATATAGTCGCCGTTAAAATGGCACGAAAACCAATATATTTATGAGAAGAGGAATAGAGACAATAGAAATCGGTGTCGTTCGAACACAAATCAGTATTCTGATTGAAAACAATGATACTCTGTTCGGTATAGATAAGGGAGCGTGTCACTTGAAGGCATCTAAATCAATTGCTTTTTTGATTGCATCTCTCTTTCACACTCCCATTATGTCTTGATTCGATTGAATTCATGTTGCGCGAGCGCACGTTGTCATGCAGTTTTGCCATATAGAAATAACATTTACTTAGATTTCATGATTTACCCGGGATCAATTCGATTTGTTTGTCGTTGAAATTAAATTGCACTCATAAAATCTATAAACCCACATCAATTTTATTTGAATTCACACTGAGCTCGAATGGTGCTATATGTATATTTTTGTGATATTTGTCTGTACACACGGATACACACATAGTGATATGAGATACGGGTCTGTAAAGTGCAAAAGTGGTGCATTGTTTAACTCACAAAATGATCACAAAGTGTTCACGAATTTTTTGCGTTTGTCATATTATATAGAAAAAGTTTTTGCTGTGCGAATTTTCTATCTAGTTAATATCTTTCTCTTGCTCTCTTTTATTGCATTTAATTTTGATTTTTCATATTTAAAATAACTCCGGTATAAGATTTTTTTTTCATTTCGGTGGCATGTGATTATAGTAGTGGTAGTGGTAATGATGGGGATTGTGAGGGAGGAAAATGTGCATTTTATTGCTTGATTTTTGGTCGCAATTACAAACAGACAGATCAGAAAAAGAGCAGATTGAACGCTTCGCCCGGCAACTGTTTTGAAGAACGAATGTGAATGAGTGAGACGGAACGAAAATCATCATACAAAGTATGCTCGTTGATTGCTATGTACTTCGACGCGGCAGAAACAATACACTGAAAACGCTTTAATAAGATATCGAGGATGAAAACAATAAAAGTCGAAACAATAAAAACACAGCGAAAACTATTCGGCAACGACTTCGATTGCATTTCTCTCTTGTTTATTTTTATCTCAATTTTCAATCAAATGGAAAGAAAGTGCGATAGAGAGACTGAGAGAGATGAAGAGCAATAGAAAATGAATTTGTTCTTTGAGAAGTCTTATTATCGCTGGCTGAAACATTACTTTTACCAATTGTAATGTGAATGTTCGAAGAACGAAAACTGATTGGAAATGCAAAAATTATGTTCATTTTAACGGGTTTTGTGAAATAATAGTGATTTCACATTTTTTTCTCGCTTCTGCACAGACACATACACCCTAACGAAATGCAAACGTCAAATTAAATGGCATAGACGAAACTTTGCCAAAACAACAATGCAAAAAAAAAATACACTAAAAGAAATAATTCGCTGCAATCAGTTTAATTGGAAATTGTTTGGGCAAACCCATCTGCGGCACTGGTGGGGTTGTAGTTTTGGACAGCACAGGGGACTATAAATATATCGAATGTAAACATGACGCTTTGTGGCCAGGCACATGGAAAACCATTGAGACACTACAATGATAAAATTGCATCGCCATAACCATTCATCGCCCACACACACACACACACACAAAAAACGATGGGCAAAATTTAATTTGTCAAGAAAGTACCAAATTCTCAACATTTTTTTCCTTCTTTCCGTATCTACAGCTTTCTTTTTCTTTGGAAACTTTAAAGTTTTCAAATAGTCATCTGGATCGAAGAAGATGAAACAACCGACACGGAAAACAAGAACAAATAAACGAAGTAATAAGAAACCAGAAAAAAATTCATTCGAAAGTTTAGAGAATTCTCGCAAATCTTGCCGTTGTTTTCAATCAAAATAATTGGAGAAAATATAATCTTTCCTTTTTTTCTACAAACTTGTATTTTCAGCTTTTTTTCGATTTCACCGATTCGAACTTGATTGAGGTGTAAAATTTATTAAAATCATACGCTGCAGTAACAACATACAAAATGGAAGCGATTTCAATATGAACACACTTTTAATACGTGATGAATCAGAGATAGAGAATGAAAATGACGATGATGGCGTGTTTGTTTTTATTACTCGGAAATTATTATTAGCTGGAAAATGTTTCGACATTTTTTTTCAGTTGCAGCTGCTTTTTTACTTCAATCGCCAACACATTTTTTTATACATCAATATATATATAAAAATAAGGATTTATACAACAATCACATCAAAGATAAATAATAATTACCAACAACTTTTCTATATACACACATATATAAAATAAAAACCAAAACTAAAATAGTTTTACGTTAATTACATGTAAATAGAGTGAAAGTTCATAGTTTGTAAGTTTTTCATTTTCTTCTTCTTCTTCTTGTTTGTTCACTCTCTTTTTAATTAGACTGAGTTTCCGTTTCTTCGGTTCCGAGTTTGGTGTTGGGGAAGTTGTAACTTGCATATAACAGCATGCCATTTACAAGTTAAAACGATTTTGAATATTTTATCAACTCTATTAGCTATGTGACGCGTGCAATCATTAACAGCGCACGACAATTTAACGCACTCATTTAAAATGCACTTTTCACAAAGTTTTTAATTTTACATTGGATTCTAGTATCTGTTATCATTGTCAATTTTGCACTCATTTGCATTCTTATCATTTTTCGATATTCAAAAAAAAAAAACGATTATTTTGGCTAGTTTTAATTCTACTTAAAAACATCTTGAATTATTATTCCTCATTAAAGGATCCTTGCTAAGATTGACACCTCCAATTGCCACTCAGTTCTCATCATGAGATTTCGATATAAGAAAAGAAAATATACAATTCCAATTCACAGCATGAAGTGCTTGTTCTCATTCTCTAGAGTGTAAATTGCAATTAAAGGCACAAGCAGAGAGAATAAGAAGACGACGACTTTGACACAAACGGAAACGAAGATGACGGAAACGAAACGTAAATATTACAAGGTGCTCATTAAAATCCAAAAAAATCTTGGGAAAACTTGATTTCTTCTTATTCCATTTTTATAGAAATTTTTAGTGGACTATTTTCCAGCTCATCGACACCCATTATACATTTTAAAACGATTTCACTTTAGTGCGCTATTCAATTTTTTCCCCTTTGAGTTTTGATGAAGCACAAAGGCGATATGGAAGAAGAAGCAAAACATATTTCCTTTTTACAACGGCAAATATAATAATTGCACTTTTGCTTTATATTCCCAAGATTTCCTCGTCACAAAATTTTTGTTCGGCTTTTTTATTTTCAACGTGTCTTTTGTTCGCTTATTTTATTCGTTGATTTCTTTTGCGTTTATTTTTCATTGGAATAAAAAAATAAATAAAAAGAACTACTTACAGAGAAATAAATGAAAGGATTCTTTGGTAAACGCATTTTTAATTTCTGGCCATTGTGAGCTGGTTGGTAACGAGTTCTTAAAAATGCGCTTTTGTGAAGTAAAGTAAAGCTTCACCGAGACGAACTATTGCCATTTTCAATAGATTAAATGAAATATGCAAACTACACGAGAAAAAATCACCGATCAAACATTTTATTTATTTTATTTTTTCTTAAGTTTTGTGTAGCAAAAGAAATCAAATAAACTACAGTTTCTTTCGGATTTTCCTTCCAAACGAATGTTTTTTGTTACCCATAAATATGCAAGTCATTATATAAAAGTTTATATATATATACAAAAAAGTCTATTCTATTTACTTATACCGTATACTACTCTTGCGAGTAGTTTTTTTTTTTCATTTTTTTTTCTTAATTTGGTTCGTGTTAGTGAAAGTATTTTTATTTTGTTTAGCTTGTTCAGATTGGTTTTTGTGCCGTATGTTGTGCACGTGCACAGAAAGATTGATGCGGGGGGAGTTTTTTTATTTGTAGATGCGAGAAAATATATGTATGCAAAAAATAGAAGAAAAAATATAAATCTGATTAAGAGAGCAGAGAAAAGATTTAAATGTCGTACCGTTTCGCTCACCTTCTTCTCCCACTGCAGCACATAAGGAACTGGATGATCACCGGGAAATTCGACGTGACAATTGAATATAACACTTTCTCCGAGTATGGCCGTGATATGTATAGCATCTTGTTGACCTGGCAATGTTAACATCCGGACCACGTAGCAAAATCAAACACAGCCGCCGACAAAAGAATGGCATAGGAAAAGAGAAATGAAAGAAAATGAATTAGAAAAACCGGAACAAAAACGAATAGAAAATTAATGACTTTTTCCAAAATCAGCTTATGAATACGGATGTGATTTGGTCACCACATATATTTATAACGTTGAACATCTTTTATCGTTCTCAAAGCGAAAAGGCAATTTCTTGGATTTGACACATTCACACACACACACACTGATTCCCCATGTTATTTGTTGTCAATGGTCGAAAAATTTCATTTCGTATTCTTCATGAATTGGCAGCATTTTATTCTTAGCATCTTACCTTTATCTTTTAAAAAAATGCTTCATTCTCCATCTCAATCTATCTGGACAGTTTGTGCTCTAGTTTCCGTTGGGTCAGGTATGATATTGGTGTTGTGTATCAAAACGTGATTCAATCAAAAACCATTTCCATTTTTGATACATACACGAAATTGAACAGGAAAATCCATTTGAACATTGTTGGCCAATGCAATTTATTTCATCCAGACAACCATGCACAAACACTTCCCACACATTCACGCTATTCAATAACAAAATTCATGAATAAATGAGCTACACAAATAGCACACACACACACACACACATCTATGTATATTGTTGGAAGGCAAAAATGTATTTTGTGATACAGTGTTGATGCGCTATTGTCAAAGTTTTATATGGAAATTGATTTGGAAAAGAAAAAAAAAACTTCAATAAACTATACATTGTATGTTATCAGATTGCTTTGTACAAATCAAATTCATTGTTGTTGTTACTGCCGTTGCAATGGCACGTACGAAAATGTGAACGATTCTGCCATATTATATTTAGTTTGGGCATAATGATGCGAAATGAATAAGATGAGTTAATTGCTGATTGTTTGGGCAACGCAACTAAAATACCAATTTCGATTACACTAATGAGATGTGAGATGACACCTTTAACATACAAACAAAACTTCCACTGAATTTGGTCAGATAAAACGTATACGTGTGCGAAAGCGTTCGCTCTTGTGTGTGTCATTTGTATTGGTTTTGTAGCTCAAATGGATTCTAATGTCCTTATGTTATTATCGCCACATTACGATGGATGAGCATAACAAACAGCTGATACATGCACACACCACCTAATTTTCTGTATTTCGCCCCATTCAAATTGTTACACCCGAATAAACTCTGGATGGATAGTGGCACGCACTATCAAACACTCCCACTCGATGTATTCGGGACCTGGACATTAAAACGGTGTTTTACACATTAGACCATACCGCACACTTAATGAATAGCAAAAGCGCGTACTCCACTCACCAACGCGTATACGTAACAAGGGGAAAAATCCAATTAATTCATGTTTTTATGTATCATTGTGTAACTAAATAGAGTGTATTTATTCCTTGCCATAAGTATCAGCCAATATATGCGAAGTGAGAACTATTCATTTTGATTTCGCTTTGAAAATGGCACAAATTCAAGCGAATAATATCGATTTATCCATACTTCATTTATTTCGATGTGCGTGTTTATTTGTAGCACAGTCAATGTGCTCCGAAATGGAACGAAATTGTTTTTTTTTTTCATCATCTATTTCTGGTCTACATGGCCAATCGGAGTTTTATTGCATTTCAATGCATAACTGAAGTGGTTGCAATGTAAATTCAATAGAGGCAATGGATTCACATAGTCAAATGGTGAAAATAAAAACAAAGTGAAAACCTAATCAGAATTCGATATCGCTTCAAAATTCCGAACTCAACTTATTAACATGCTTTACATTTTATGCGGCCGCAAAGCATTTCAGTTAGTTAATTTTTTTAAAATGCTTTTGAAGTCGATCGGTAAGTCAATGTGTGTATGAGTGGGTATATGCAATCAAGTTCAATGAAAAATGAGAGAGTTTGCCATTGATGGGAAACGAGCAAAATGCTTCCATTTTTTAAATTGTAATTACAGCGCATAAACGTGTGCTTTTTTTAACACAGCTATGAATGAACTAATGCACAATAAAGTCGATCGATAAAATAAATCAAGAGCGAAATATAGTATCATAAAGGACAGGAAAATTCAAATAAACGTCAGCGAGTGGCAAAATCTATCATTTTGCTTTTGTCACCAAAATATTTGCTCTATCTTTTTTTTTCTCTCTCGAATTAGCAAAAAACCATAATATCATAAATGAATTACTTGTGCGCATTTTTAAGAGTGGACTTCAATAGCCATTGCTACCGCTGTCGGTGCAGCCATTTGATGATGATGATGATTCATATCAATACACAAAAAGCGTTCAATTGAAATTACTATAGCAATGAACCATAAATTCAAATATGATTGGTTTAATCATTGACCATATAAAAAGCGATTGCAGCGAAATAATTAAATGTCATCGAATTATATCGAATCAAAAGTCATTAATATGGTGCGATAGAATGACGCATATTATCTTTTCATTTTTGCCTCATTTTCAAATGGATTGTTGTAATTAAATCGCATTCAACCATTGCATTATTATTGTACATATTTAAATAAATTTGGTGTTTCGTGCACAAAATTTCCCTTCACACAGATTTTTCTCTGGATTCGAAAAGAAAAAAATCACGTTAAATTTAATTCTACCTCAAATATGATATTATCTCATTCTGAGAAAAAAAAAAAAACGGAATCATCTTAAAGGTATTACATTTTTTTGGTGCGATATAAACAGTTTTTTTTAATCTAAAATAACACCAAAAAGTCGACCGTCTCAGCGGCACCTTTTTAGAAAATGTCCGCCACGAACGAATGAAAAAACCCCACCGAGGAATATGTTTAAAGTTTAAAATGCTCTGGAGTCTTTATTTGATTTGCATATTAAAGTTTTTCCAGGCAAAATCATTTCCAGAAGATTTCATTGGAAAATCCGCTCGGCTTCAAAACGACAAAAGAAAACGGGCGAAAAAAATTCGGGTTTCGAAAACGTGATAAGAACAGCTTGTGAATATATCCATTTAATTCGACTCATCTGTGCGCGCCGAATTCTTTTTGTTTTTGATAGCCTTGTGCAATGTGCATATTTTCATACATTTACACGCGTTAGCGTACTCGCGATGAATAGAAATTCAACGCGATTTAAATCTTGCCAAAAGATAAAAGAACTAGACTGGTTTGAATTACTCCGACCAATAAAAAAACGCACCAAACGACAATGACAACAGACTTCAGAGAGAAACCGACACATAAAACGAGAGCGAGAGAAAACGACAGAAAAATGCATTGTAACTAATGAAAAGCTCTCGACATGCATAACTCTCTGTGTGTTCTGTCTGTGCTTGGTGTGTATCAAGTTATACACAGATATAATTACGTTACGCTGCGTCGTTGCATTCAAACAAAGAATGCTTTGCTCGATTGTCGGTGGTGGCATGAAACATGAATGAAAAATTGTGAAAAAAAAAATCGGGCAAAAGGAAAATGCCACAAACACAAAAAGACAACGAATGAAAAAATTGACGTTAAAATGTATCAAAATGAGCGATAGAAGAGAAGCTTGAGTTTGTTTACTTCGGGTATTTTTCCTGCTTGTGTTGATTTTATGCATTTCAACGTGGCGATGTGCCTCATATGCAAATTGTACTCTAATATGTAATGGGATACAAAGCGAAATCGAAAGACAAAAAAGCGAATACAGAAAAAACTCAACAGCAAAAGGAACTGATGAGATGGAAAACAGATAGGGAAAAATTGGATCCAAAGAGAGAAAGATTGAAAAAATATACGTAGCAAGAGATTCGATAGCACTGAGTGTCTGTGTGAAAAATATTGATTTGCTATTTGGCAGCAACAATAACAAAAGTAGTAGATGTGCTGAGCAACTCGTGCGAACGAACAATGATGATTAATGGAAAATCTATTTTACATAGTTTTCCAGTTGGGTATTCTCTCGTGCCACTTTAGGTTTTCTGGACTTGTTTTCCAGAGTTCTTTTTCCTTTTTTATCACCATTATCTTGAGTATCGATAACGAATCGAAGTGGCAGAGCTTTAGGCAAGAACAAAAGTAAAAGGGAAAGGTAAATCAGGAGCAAAGAGGATGAGTTGAAAAAAGAGAAGGAACGATATGGGATCGGCAATCAAAGAGTGCATTTGTGGTAGCATTAAACGGTTTTAGCATATTGTAATGTGCATTTGCAAATCGTAATTTGGATTTGCATATTTCACTGTTGAATAATTTCCCAATCCAACTGTGAGCCAAAGGAAAGAGTTGACTGGTTTGAAGAAGTGTGCTCTCAGCAGGAGTGCAATATCCTTAACGCATTTCTATTGTCGCTTGATTATATGTATCATCTATCAGTTTTTGCCTTTTGTAAAACTCTCTGTTTCATTCTGTCATTCTTGCATTTTGCGTACATAACTGCTCTTCACTTGAGTTAGTATAGTTGCACTGTTGCTGTCGGAAATGACAACAAGTTTTAAGTTTGAAACGCAACTCAGTCACTTGCACACGCAAAACATCACCACCACCAACAACAACCAACAATATCATCATCATTTCGATTTCTCTCTCTCTCACTCTCTCGGTACAGTTCAGTTCATGTTCATTCATTGAGTTTGATTTTCGCCTGGATTATGGAAAATAGTGTATCGTAATTCACAACCGCCGCCAATATAAGCTGCCTCGTTGCATCATGATGCCAATGCCATCATGATGAGTGTTCGAAGTCGTAACAACAAGTTTGGTTTCGACATCAGATTCTCTTTTTCCCCTTCGATTTCTTCCCGATTTCCTTCTCTTTCTCTCACCACCCTTCTTATCTGATTTGAAATCAAATGTGCAACACAAAGTTTTCTTAAGCGGGAAGGAAAGCTTTAATTTGAAGTGATAGACAATGTTTGCGGTTCGAAATCATTGTTCTTAATTTAGATGGGAGTGTGCGGCGGATGTAACGAGTCTCTCTGCTCGACATTTAACACATCAAA